CGTTCAGTTCCCGCTGGAAAGGGCTGTCTTTTTGGAAAGCACTGAGCATATGACCGGATAAATGACACTTGGATTATACTGCACAAGTTGTGTGAGAGTTTGGAAACATATGTTTTGATATAGTTTGCTGTTGTTTAACGTGGACCCCTTTTACTTCAATTCATGAAGAATATTCTCAGTTTCTGGATGCTTTGTTCACAGGGAAAGGCATGCGAGAAAATCAAAGTTTTCTGCACAAATTTAACTTAACACACGGTGAGTAACTGATATACAAATGGTCATTTGGACAGGTGAAGTATTTGTTTAAGATTTCTGTCCTGCTTGAGTTGGCGACACCTGTGGCTACTAGTTGTAACAGAAACTGTGGTTTAATGCTACAGGTCCCAAAATTCTGGGGGCAGCAAACACTTGTTGAGCAAGCTACTTCGTAAGGAATACATCACAGGACCAAAACAACCAATGCAGCCAAACTCGAAGAGTTTTAATAAAGACCTCCTTGAAGTATGCCTTTGAGGATTATAACTTTAAAATGATGGACTTCAATTTTATCAAGATAATCAAACTTTTTATATTTTTGTTGATATGTAAAAATACTCCCAGGGGAAACCATGGCAACAGATTCTACCTTTGACCAGATGTTATTACCTGAACAGTATAGTATGTGATGTTCTCTTTTTCTGGCAGTCTTGACTCAAGGCTAGACCGAAGAACTGTGCTCTTTACCGACTACTTTTCTTGACATGTTGTCCTGAAGTTTGTTTTGGTCCAGTGACTCTATTCTAGATAAGAATACCACTTGGTCGAGGTACTTAATCAACATGGGGGCCAGGCATTATAGAGTCCCACACTCGGCTATCCCCAGCAGAGACAGTGTCCTGATGGCCAGGGTCCAAGAGCAAATTTCATTATATCTGATCAACATGGCTCTGAAAATGGCAAACAAAGAAACCCTTCCTCGTCATTCATCCTTTCCTTTAATACTCCTTCACTCTGTCCCTTCCTCTATGTTTTCTCCCGCCGCCTCCCTTTAGCCCTCTGGTGTATCCCCTCACCTTTCGATTATCCCTGGCACAGGCCACATAAATCAAGCGCTCTCCACCTCTCCCCCTAATCTCTTTCTCTGCTCTTCTTTCCTCGTCCACGCCCCTCCACACCAGATTGATTTCATTTTGCTCATTTTGTTCTTGTCCTCTGACACACACCTCCTCCCCTCTCTGTTACCCTCCACATCTCCCTCACTACATTTTATGAGATTTGTCATATCAGCAAACCTTTTATTTTTTCCTCCTCATATATTTAGTTTTACCTCCAGTGCTGTCAAATAAAATTGCATGAAATAAACACAAATACTGACTGTGCAGTTGCATTGTGGACCTCAGTCATGTATATATCACAGTTCAGTCCTGTTACCTTTTGGTGATGGCAAAAATTTGCTGAAAATTAAAAAAGTTCTGTCAGGTGACAGCTTGCCTGGCACACCCCTGCATATCTTAGTACACCGATATTGCGGCAAACTTAAAAGGCCTTCATGCACATATTTACTGTCTAGGCTGACATATGCTTTGTTGCTTTTTCCGCTGCTGCTATTGTCAGAGCCTCCACCTACACTGCCACCTGCTATGTGTTTGTGTACACCCTGGAGGGCCTTTTCTAAATAAAGCCCCAGGATTCAGGAAGTATTTGCAATGCAACCTGCATGTTATCTATCGTGGTGCTATGTATATGCATTGCTAACAGCGGGGAGCATCATCAACAGAGGAAACATACCACCGAATCCAACTTTATTACCATTTCTATATGCAGTAATGTTTAAAGTAGTGATGCAAGTGATTCCTGACAGTGGGACACTTTTCCAGTTTGGAATCTGGGTCGCTGGAGCTGTAAGTACATGTACATTGAGTCATTTTGCCTTATTACTAAGGCTGTGTTCTACAGTCTCAACCTCCTCTGCAGCATAATGCTGTGTCATCCAGCAAGGTGCTGCCTTGGCCAACCAAACACATAAGAGCACATTCCTGGAAGGCTACCTTTTAACACTAACAAATTTTGATTGTTTACTGAGTATAACAAGTCATTGTGCAGTGTTTCGCTGTCTGTTGAACCTTTAAAGCCCCACTCCAGCCAGTGTTACTTTCTGTTTTTCAGTTAACGTTCCTTCATAAACATACAATGGGGGGAGGGGTTAATACTCAGACGAAATCAATTACCGTGGCAACCAGATTGTCAAACAGCGTATATGTCAAGGTCAACGTCATTAGCAAGGATAGTGACAGTGTAGATATTAGTATGACTAGCAATACCCTTACATAAGTTACGAGGTGGAGGATTTTCCTCTACTTCCTTCACCTGGAGAAAAATTAATGAATGTGAATCTAGCGTCAGCTGGACTTCAGTTGCTTCAGAATGATGGCCGCTCAGCATAACTATCTAACTAACAGTAATTACGTGTAATTGCTTTGTATTTTAGTTTCTGTAATGGCAACAACAAATTATACAACAACAATGACAAACATCCCAATTTTAAAACAATATTTACTGACAATTTAGAATTTCCTTTGACAAATAAGGTAGCCACAATGTATATTAGCTGCTTTGTGTCAAACAGTTAAGTTAGCCATCATTTAAATTGGCTACTTTATATCAAACAGGTAAGTTAAATGAAAATTTGTGGCCAAAGCCAAATATTTTTAAATGCTTGGCCGAATACCGAGTACCGAATACCGAATATCATTGTTTAGTTTTTCATTAGTTTTTGCAGATGAACCCCCTCCAGATTAGTGTTGTCACGGTACCAAAATTGGGACCCACTGTGCGATACCAATGAAAATATCATGGTTCTGAGTAGTATCACGATACCACAGCGAAAATGAGGCAGATGTGCCTTTTGTCATTTATGAAAAGATAAATCACTTTTCTATAGTACATCAATGATATTTCAATGGAATAAATTACTTATTGACTTATTCATACTTCAAAAACAGCATCAATAAGTGATTAACATAGGGGGGATCAAAATAAAATAAATAAATAAAATAATAATCAACCAGCCACCCTCCTCCCCTGACAGTCCCTTGATAAGTAATGAACAGTCCCTAAAGTGCGGTGAGGTTTGTGGGCCGTTACTGCCGGAAAGAGAGAAATGTGAAAAGCTCGTTTGTCCTCTGACACATCACATACCTGTGTTAGGCTGGCTCGGCTGTTCAGGTACTTCTGGGCAGTCATGACACCAAGAAGAGGATATTATTGGAACCGACTTCTCCGTCGCCGGTAAGCCGATGGCCGCCGTATTTGACAGGAATACATTAACGTTACTCTCTGTGTCTGTGACCCCCGTTCAACCCACAATCGGTGAGATTCGCCTTTCGTTTCTGCTGCTGGTTGAAATCTGTAGGCTGCTTGCACAGCCTGCTGAATGATTTAAGCCTATTTTTATTTATTATTTTTTATTTTTTATTCCGCCCGTCACGACACGCCGTTTGATTGCGTTATCAAAACACGCTGCTATTATTCGGCCTTGCTTTTAACTTATTCCACCGAATACCGAATGTGTGTGTTTTTTTTTTGCAATATTCGGCCGAATATATTCGGTTACCAAATATTCAGTGCATCCCTAATATCAAACAGGTAAGGTAGCTACAGTTTACATCGGCTACTCTGTATTTATCAGGTAAATTAACCATACTGTATATCGGCTACTGTATATTGGGTACTTTGTATCAAAAGGTAACTTAACCATACTGTTTATTGGCTGCTGTGTATTGGCTACTTTGTATCAACAGGTAAGTTAGCCATACTGTATATCGGCTTCTTTGTACCAAACAGGTAAGTTAGCCATATTGTATATCGGCTACTGTGTATTGGCTACTTTGTATCAACAGTTAAGTTAGCCATACTGTATATTGTCTACTGTATATTAGCTACTTTGCATCAAACAAATAAAGTAGCCACACTCAGTGTCAGAAATTAGCAAGGGCCACGGGCCATTTGGCCCGCAATTTATCCAAGAATGCCCCCAAAAACCATGTTCCGGGGGCCAAAATTGCCCCCAAGTTTTCCAAACAACTATATTTATTTATATTTTTAACAGTATTACAATCTGACATTAAAGTATAATTTTATTTTCATTAAATTAATTTACCATCACTTCTACAACTCATTTTCCAGACATAATCAACGAGATTGCACTGATTACATGAGAGTAATCTGACAGAGAAGGGGAGGGGGCTTTGCTGTACCATAAGTATAAATTAACCATTTCTTGGGTGATCTGTTTTGACACAATGACAAATTAATGAAAAATTAAGGTAGAATGAATGTTAAATTTTAAATTAACTTACTTCCAGGATTGCATCTAAGGAATTTATAGTAATTGTCTTGTTTTGCCTAGGGTGAGTCTGTGCTGCCGGTGCGGCAACAACCTTCGCTTTTAAACTTTTAGCACAAAATTAAATTATTTGTTAATTATTTGGCTTTGAGCGTATTAATCTGGACAGGCTGGAGCCGATTCATGTCTCACCAGTACCTGAAACAACACACCCCCACCAAATGCAGCCCCCTGCCTTGTTTTAATGGTCTGGTCTCTGTCTGAATATCAGTACCTCAGTACCCTCTTTTAAACATAAACTGAGAACTCATTTTAATCTAATATTTTTTTTTTAACAACTGTAATTTGTCTGTGATTTGTTTCTTTTTAGCTGTTAGAATTTTAATTTTATATACTTTTAAAAAAAATTTTTTTTATCCATTCCTTTCTGTTATACGATCCTGGTTTTACAGTAAAGCAGTTTCTTTTAGGAAGTGCTACATATATTAAGTTATTATTATTTAAAGAATTCTTTGATCCAGTCTCCAACTTTAAGAGCATTTGATGAGTTGAGGAGAATATTACTGTAATACTGATGAGGAAAAAGTCACTAATGACTCAGAAATGCTGCCTGGCACTCACATCAGTCAGTCTAGCGTTATTATGAATGGTACATTAGGTCAGAGTTGTCACTCACCGTAGTGTGGGATGATGGCCCAGGCCATGGCTGAGGCGTAAATTCCTCCGATCATCCAGAACATGCAGAGCCAGCTCAGATGCTCTCCTCTCTTCTCCCGAGCCAACACCTCCGCAAAGTACGAGAATACGATTGGTACCGCTCCACCAATCCTGCAAAAATAGTTTGCTGTAATTAGCTATATGTGCTTCAGCCACCAACCCTCATTGTAAATATATTAATGTGTGTGATGACAAACATTTATGAACATGCAAAACAGATGTTTGGTTACATAAAATCATTGGGAGAAAAGTAAAGGAGTTTGTAGGCAGTTTATGCAGTTAGCCATTCGACTTGTTAGATTTGGACCTCATTCTGATCATCAAGCAGAAACATGCTTAGTGTGTCTTGTTGCTTTGAACCTTATGTTCATTTTCTTATAACTTTAAAAAGGAGCTCAGCTCGGGCAGCAGGCAACCATGTGTAAACTCTTATGAATAGAAGAAATGAAATCATGTCACAAGAAAGATTCCTAAATGAAACAGTGTTTTCAAACTCATACCATCAGTAGACAGTGACACTGCCCACTTCAACTTTATGTTTGTTTGGATGAGAATATTGTTTTTGTCCACAAACCAAAGAAAATGAAAAAGCATCACACTGTAGCAGACAGGATATTACAAGAGTGTCATTTCATCTTTGATACATCTTTACTTTTACTTTTCCACAAACTTCCTTGTTACATTATTGCACAGAATCAGAGGAGTTTGAATAAACTATAGCAGTGACAATGTCAATCGACCCATATTAATACGACTGCATAATGTCATGTCATTGTGTTAATGCAGCTGAAGTGGAGCATCAGTGAGGTGTTGAGCAGAGTCAGCAGGAGCCCATCTGTGTCTGCAGTGACTTTCTCACTGGTTTGTTTCACAGCTCCACAGTTTCCAAGATAAATTAGAAGAGGAAGATAAAATGGCAAACCATTTGACAAGCAAGTGAAATAGCCAGAGAGAGATTTGTGTTGACATGAGGCCCGTTTCCACCGCAGGAACTTTGGGGTAATTTTACGGGCTGGGGCCGTTGGTGCGTGTCTCCACCGCAGGAACCACCCCTGAAGGACAGAGTTCCGGAACTTTTACAGGGGCTAAACAAGTCCCTGCCGCGGAGTAGGTACTCAGAACCATAGACATACAGTATATACATAGACGCCGCATCGAGCGCTGAACCGTACGTCAACGTCGCCGCCATATTGGATGCGGCAAGGCTGCGCTGTAAACTAATACAAGTGAATGGACTTAATTTCATAAAGCGCCTTTCTTCAAAGAAATTTACGTTAATGCCTCTCGTTTATTCATTCACACACACACTAATATACTTGGGAAACAGTTAGGCACCAAAAACAATGTATTTGATCTTCTCAGATGGCTAAGATAAGAACTTTATTGATCCCACACAGGAGTAATTCACCTTACATCAGCTATAGAGAACAAG